GCTCTTGTGCTCCCTCGTTGTTGTACCCATCTCCTAGGCTATTTCTTGCCCCCTTTTGGAGACCTGCTTCGACGTCAGGGGGATCAATGTCTTCCTCGCTCCTCCGACGTCATATTTCCTATTCGTGAGGACTTGTCACCAGCTTCACGGTTTATTTCTTTATCCAGTTCTACTAAAGTTTTCCCTTTCTTTACTGTTGAAAAACAGTCTGCTAGACATATAAGCTTGCTCAAGTCGATACAATGCTCTCTTACTTTTTCTTTTTTTCTCTTGTACACTCTGTTCACTGATGCGCTCTCTAGCAAGTCTGGGCAATGTCTATTTAAAGAGGCCTAAGCCCTATAAAAACTTGGCTATCCCATTTTATTAATTACGGGTGCCATAATTATGAAGCGCTTGCGCCCGCCACTGCCTCTTTATCTATTCGGCGGTTAACTGGGGCAAGGATAAATTTATGAATCTATTCGGCCTACGTATATTTGGCCGAACTCAGGCACTGCCCTACCTGACCAAATTCGGTTGGTTTGTTTCTTTTACCTATTCGGCGGTTACGCTAAGCGATTAACTGAGGCAAGGGCAGATTTATGAATCTATTCGGCCTACACATATTTGGCTGAATTTAGACACTGCCTCACCTGACTATATTCGGTTGCTTTGTTTCATTTACCTATTTGGCGGTTACGCTAAGTGATCAACTGGGGCAAGGGTAGATTTATGAATTTATTCGACCTACACATATTTGGCTGAATTCAGACACTGCCCCACCTGACCACATTTAGTTGCTTTGTTTCTTTTACATATTCGACTGTTACGCTATCTGGTCAGATTTATGAATCTATTCTGCTTAAACATATTTGGCCAAATTAACATTGCCCCACTTGACCACATTGTGAATTCAACTTGACTATATTATAAGTTCTTTTCCATTTTTATTTTGGTATCTGGCATTAGTTATGCGGCACATTTTTGTTCAAAGACATTTTCATACACAAAACGGCTATTTTCATTGATAAACTGCCCAAGTACATTCGTCACTTTATACATGAACATAGCCCTAATACAAAGCTAAACAAAACAGAAAATAAAGCAAACAAAACAAAAACTATGTAATTCAAGTTCGTTTGACATTGGCCGATCAAAAGTCTACGTCTTAAGGATCCAACTCTAACAGTTCGACTTCCAACTGCTTGTAGGGAATGGGTTGATCAAGAGTCACCTTGGTGGCAACCAAAGCCTTAAGCCAGCCATGCTTGAAGCCTCGATTTTCAAACTTCAAGGCTTCGTCTGCATATAGTTCTTTGGCCGCAAGCTCTCCGGCATCAAAAGCCTTGGCCGCATTCGCCTCAGCGAGTTTCCTCGCCCTCTTCTCCTCCTCAAGTTTGGCCTTTAGCTTTGCGATCTCCTCTTTGGCCGACTTAAGGGAGTGGTCTATCATATTTTCCCTCTCTTCAGCGGCCCTATGAAGCAAGTCGGCGTGCTAAGCTTTGTCTTCCTCAGTAGAGGCTTTCGTTCACTCTTCTTCAACCTTTGTCGCTTCGACCTCCACCCTCGTCGTCGCCGTAACTAAGTCGACTACAGCTGCTATGGCTTTGCTTTTTTCCTCCTCAAGCTGGTTTTCAAGAATGCCAAGTCGTTCCACGATGTTGTAGTGATGGCGGTCGATCTCGGCAATCCTTCCCGTTACCTAACAAAGATAACAAAACAAAGGCATGATTAGTCAGCATGAGAAATGAAAGGATTTATATTCTAAAATGTACTTACCAATATAGCTGACTCTGCCGCCAATGCATTTGAAATCACGTCCGGTTCGGCACAGAATGCAGCCTTGTCCGCGGGGAAGGAAATCGCCGACGCCATACTTAAGGCTAGAACCGGATCTTTGATGGCCGACCTGCTGGCAGGAACTGACGAACCCCTCATCTGTGGTTAAATGATGAAAGTGTCGGAGGAATCATACGGCATAACTACTCTTGGACGTTTATCAGCCGGTACCTCCGATAACTCAGCAATGGCCTCGATAGGGCGTTTCTGCCGTCTTTGATCAGCACCTGAGATTTCAGTTTGCTACTCCTGCTACTTTTCAGGAATTGAGTCGACCATTACCATCTCACAGACTGTTTCTTCTGAAGCAACCTCTGGGGGAGGAGTTTCTTAGCTCACCCCAGCACCACCTGCCTTTCTCCTTGCCACCATTTTTTCAGCATTTCTTCTCCTGGAAAATTGGGAAAGGGATTCTCCACCCATTTCCTCGACCTCATACTCAGCCCCAAGTAAATCGTCCAAATTGTTGCAAATATTGTCCTCTGGAGTAGCTGAATCTACTAGGCCTGAAGTGGAAGGATGATGGATATGATCAGGGCTGATACGCTTAAAAGCTAATTTGAGCTCTTGGTTAATTTTTTGCTATCTTTCACGGCTCTCTAATAGCGCTTCTTTGCCGACTTGTTCGCCGACGTCGGGTTCGTCGGCGTCAGAACGTTTAACACCAATATCCCTTAAACTCTTGTAAGTGGGAATAGGAGTGCTGTGAGTTGTCGTTCACCTCTCGGCACAAGGATGTTGTCTGCAGCCGAAAAGGTGGCGTAGGTTGGGTCATACCTCTGCAGAATGTGCGTGGCTCGCCCTTGTCCTTGAAGATTCGCACATCCTTTATAATTAAAGATTGCCTTCACTTGGCTGAGAACGGCTTCGTCTGCTGACGTTAGCACTTTTTTAAATCGCTATATGCATGGCGCAAAAAGAATTATCAATATATAGAATTTAAGCAAGAATCCATCTAAAACGAAGACAACAATTGTAGTCGGCCACCTGGCTCACCTTTTTGCCTTGGCATTGGGTCCAGGCGATCTTATCCCTCGCCAAATTCTCAATTGCTTCGGACAACGACCATGACATCATCAACTATTTTACCAGAGCTGGAAAGCATAGTCACCAAGTGGTGATTTACGTCCTTGGCTCTCAGGAAATAACAGCCTTGTCGACCAGTTGACTTTGCCATAACGTAACAGTGCCAAATAGTTGGGATTCCTAGGTTAAGTCTCAGTCAGTGGTTCAATTCTACTATACCCATAATTATTTGGTAGAAGTTCACATTCGGTTGGGAAGGGATTAATCCCCAATAACGTAAAACGGACCTAAGAAGAGGATGAAGGGGGAAACGGACCCCACCCTCAGCGATTGACAGAAAAGAGAAGCTAATGGTGTTCGTATTAGCCTTCTCCATATCAACTACATTGTCTGCAACAAATGATAATTGGATGTCGTCTGGGATTGAAAAATAATGACGGAATGCTGTGACTCGCTCCTCAGAGAGGAGATCTTTCAAATGCTTTGCCATTAATGACGGAAAAAAAACAAAATGTATGCTAAATAAGACACATGGACTGGCATGAACGCAAAGGAAAAGAAGAGGGAACTTACAGGTCAAAGAAGAAGATGAATAGTGGCAAGCGGAATCAAAATTGCAGAAGTCTTGAAGAAGAAAGGTTGATGTGAAGAATACCAAAAGAAGGAACGAAGAGCCTTTCGATTCAAAGCATACAGGGTGATAGTTTTCAAATCGCATTAAATGAGTGTCAGATATGAAGGGGCAGGAAGTTGTAATGATTTCACATCTCGTCGGTTCTGATGAATCAGTACTAAAAGGAGCGCGTCCGCCGTATTTCCAACTTTCGAGGGTTTTCTACTCTAAAACGGCCGAATAGTGTGCACTATTTCAACCAAACATGCCGATTGAAAGGATCAATTCGAATGCTGGGGGGGCAATTGTGAGGGGCCCAAAATTGAATGAGCCATAGACAAGTCGGCTCAAACTAGGCTTTGCCCTCAAGTTGAGCCAAGTACATTTGAAGAGGGTCGAATACAAGACGGCCTATGACAGACATTTGAAAGCCCCAACCGAGTATGACCTAGCTTAAGGGCCGAGTTGTCCAAGTAACTTATACGACGTATGGGGAGCCCAAGTGTGAGGAGAGAATGTCCTGAGTGGACCCCTAGAGAACAATATAAAAGAAGGAGCCTCATACGAAGTAACGGTATGTAAAAAAATAGTAAATAACTTATAAGTAAAGCAAATACTAAAGCGAAAGACTAACTTGCTTGTCGGAGTGTTAATTCCGGCACCTCCGACCGAAGTGTTTGTTTATCTTTCAGGTATCATTTCAAGGATCAAAAAGGTCTGTCTGGATAAGAGAGTATTTCCAAATTCCTTTCACCACACTTTTAACCTCTTTGCTAAAAAAAGATTTCAAGAACAATGTATTAAAATTAAAAATTATACGTAGTAATGCTTTGAGAAGTTAGTAAAAAGTTAATTTTTTGACTTTTTCGTGACTTTTTGACTTTTTTGTGTTTAAAAAATAGAAAGATGATATGACCTAAAAGCTAAAAAGCCTTTTTTTCTATGTTGCTAAAACTCCTCTATGGAATTTTACTAACTTAGATTATAGATATGATAATGTTAATTAATTGAAGTTAATAATTTATTTTATATATATAGAAAGATGATATGACCTAAAAGCTAAAAAGCCTTTTTTGCTATGTTGCCAAAACTCCCCTATGGAGTTTTACTAACTTAGATTATAGATATGATAATGTTAATTAATTGAGGTTAATAATTTATTATATATATATATTATAAATATAATATATGTTAAAACGATCGATTTGGATTTAATTCAATACACAAAGTATTTGAATCGATACCAAATTAAAAAACAGCACAAACTGATTCATATTAAAAAAACAGACCAAATATAACCGTTTCAATCAAATTCAGGGCTCGTTTGGCAATGACTTTTTTAGTTGATTTTTTGCTTTTTTTAAACTTTTTTAATCTGAGACTTTTTTATTTGTTTAATTTTCTTATTTGGCTTTTTTGATTTTGGAATGACAAACTTTTTTTTGTTGACTTTTTAATTTTTTTAAATTTTTTTTGGGCCCATGTATAATTATTTAACCCAAAATGTTTACCAAACCGGGGCTTAATCGAGTTAGTCCCTTGCGTATAATTATGAAAACGAAAGCCCCACGAACCCGGACTGGAGGGATCCATCCAGGTCCGTAATACGAAAGCAATTTTGGCCTAGCTGAGAGCATAGTGCAACTCATTCTGGATCAACTGGTTGTACAGTGCCTCTGTTAAAGCCGGGATTGCACTCGCAGTAGAATCACCCAACAAACCCATTTCCTGCAAGGCGGATTCCAGTTGACGGAGAGAGAAGAGAGAGAGAGAGAGAGCTCAATCCATGGACCAAAGCAAATGAGAAGTTCCCTTTTCATCCATTTATATCTGGTAACATTCACATCTTTACTCAGATTCTTAATTGTGTTCTGTTGTTGGAGTTTCAATTATTGAATTCATTTGACACAAAAGCAATTGTGTACATTGTTCCCGGTTTGAATGTGTTTTTTTTTATGTTTTTGGGTATGGTGTGAAAAGGGTAATTGACAATACAGTGGAGGGGATTTGGGTATGTACCAAATGGGGGTGTCATCATGTGCTCCTGTTAGCATATGAACTTCATTTTTGGCCTACCCAACTGGGTTTCCCAAGGGATATTTTGGCAGAACCATGTGGACTTGTTCATGCACTCCATGTGTTTGTTAATTGTTTTGAAAGAGACCCATTTCTTGTTATGTGCCTTGAATAGGCTTTTGGATTGTTGGGAAGATGATTTACTTGTCAAAGGGAAGCCTTTAATTGCATTTTTCTATGATCTGTCATGCTTTATCTTAGTTTTCTATTTCAATACAGTGGTGGTGTGCTACAGAGATGATGGCCTTGTTCAGATTAGGGAATACCTAACTACTTGTCTATACCTTACTACCTATCTGTGTGTCATAATTGATTCAAGTTAATTGGATATTTTGACTTTGGAATCAGTAGAACCCATCTATTATTTGGTATGTAATAGGAGTCGTAAGACCATGTGTTGTTGACTATTTACGCTCCGTCTGGATTGTGGGATGAGACAATAAAAGAAATGATTGTGCTTATCATATTTATATGATTGAAAAAGCAATGTATGTGATATATAACAATATGGGTGAGATTTCTTTTTCTTCCTATTTTAATGCATAATCTCGGTATTATGAAAAATACACGATTAATCAGTTTGTTTCTCATCAAATCTCACCATTTTTTATGAGAAATGAAACCATGAAACAAGAGAGTTTTCTTTCTCTCCATTTCTCATTATTCCCACTTGACTTGTGAACCAAACTTGAGAAAAGAGTTATCTTTCTCTTTATTTCTTATCATTTCTCGTCAAATCATTCGATCCAATTGGACAGTCTCCAAACTTGCAAAATAAGTCAGTATTTTGGACCAAGTTTTATTCAGTCCACTCAGGTCTCTCATTTTCTTTCCATGTTATGCAATTTTAATTAGATTTATGTCCTCTTGCAAAACATCCAGTTTATTTTGGCCAACTTCTTCTAACATGATTGAATGCCAGTTGTAACTCTTAGCATTTTCTAGTTTACTCTACAGTAATGTTACATATTTAGCTTTGAAATCATATTCATTCATGTTTTGTGTTAATGTTCACTTTACAGGTGCCATAACGCATAAAAGTAATATGCCATTGATGATCAGTGCTTAATGGAGTCTCCTGTGAGTTTTATTATTTGCGTAGCCGTCTTTTTAGTTTCTTACGCCCCACACAGTTGTTAATAACTTTATGAGAACAGTATGGCATCTGAAGAACGTGGTTTTCGTAGCTTTGCACTGCTGCATGTTTGCTACTTTTCAGCATCAAACCATAAATTTCAGAATCACACCTAAATCGGTTTTAGGGGCATAATGGAGCCTCAGATTGATCTGTATGAACTGATGGACTTTGTCTTATGAGTCTAAGTAAGAAATAAGCCTCAAAATAATAATAATAATAATAATAATAATAACATTCTAAAAGGGTTCTAGTTTTTTTCCTGAATTTTACCTAGAAACTGCTTAGCATGTTTTCCCATGTTTCTATTTCTTTACATTTCAGGACAACAAAACAAGGGTCCCATGCAGGATTGGAGATCGATCAACCAGTGATGTTGTTGTAAGATTACGAACTCAAGAAGGCCGAGATGATTGGGTATACTGTCATTCCCATGTCCTTACAAAGAACAGCAAGTATTTTGCTGACCGTTTATCTGAGAATTGGCCTACCTGTCAGATTCTTGATTCACGCAACTGTGTTGAAGTTTACTGTCAAGAAACTGACATGGACTACCATATTAGTGTCTTACGCCTATTATATGCTACTATGGATGGTCCAATGACTGACATGTGTCATGGTGTTAGAAATGCTCTTGGCACTCTTCGGGTGGCCAATGAGCTTGGATGCCCACAAATAATTGCTGCTTGTGTGGAATACTTGGAAGCTGTCCCTTGGGAAGAAGCCGAGGAGGAGGAGATTCTAAGAGTCATACCAGGCATGGGATCACAAGCAGAACTAATCCTTGCCCGTCTCCAACCAGTTAATGTAGCAGCTATTGTCAGGATTTTCGTCTCAGCCTTACGTTTTGCAACATCGTCCCCCTCTTCATCCATGTTTGATTTAAAGACCTCAGCTCAAGAGCAGCTCGAGTACATGCTTACTGAAGATGATGATGCCCCTTTACTAACAGCTGATGATGAGATAAAATCAGAAGTAAGAGAATGTGTGAGGAACCTGTTAGCCAGATTTAACAATCTATTAGAATCTTTGCAATGTGAGTCCGACCAAGTTTCTGCAGTATGGAAAATGGCGTCATTCCAATCCTATTTAACAGACTTGTCATGGGCTTGTCAGATATTGACCAAATTGGATATAATGAGAGAAATTGTTGTAAGTTGGATGGAGGCATCAGAAAGTGTAGTGAAGGTTGTTGAGCAAGCTAGTCCGGCAAAGACAAAATTGAAGGTTATTGAGCTCACAGCAAAGATTTTAGAGGCGATGGGGTATGGTACTGTAATTTTGTCCACTGCAAAACGCCTTAACATGGTGAAGGTCTGGCTTCCGTTTGTGAGGGTAATGAGGCCTTTGATTGATTCTGCCTCGGCTGATCATGGGGATGGTCTAGAACTTAAAGTGGATGGTGAGTTATGGCAATCCTTGGAGTCGGCATTCGTTTCAATCATTCTTGCATTGCCATCTGGGGACCAGGCAGAGATTTTGACCGAGTGGTTGGAAAATAAGCATATTCACTACCCGGACCTGACGGAGGCATTTGAGGTGTGGTGTTACAGGTCCAAGGTTGCCAAGAGAAGACTAGCATTATTGGGGGCAGCCAAGGTATGACCAAAATCCTATTACCCTTTTCTCCGCTGTTTTTTTGCCCGCTAATTGCACTGGAAAGTGACCAGAGCGCGGCTTAGAACTGCAAATAGTGCAGAAGATGTTGCATCTAAATCAGTGACTTGTACTTTATTCTCATTCTTCCAGAATGACAATGGTAGTACTGAGGCCCTTGTAAATCAATTGATGCTATGTCTTGCCCAATTGTATATTTTTTTATAGCTATCTTAGAGCGATCCAGACAAAGTTACATGGATGTATCATCTGCTGGAACATAACATGAAGATTCTAAATTTGTATAATTTAAATTTTGTCATCTGAACAGATGGATCTTTTTTGAGTTGAGCCATATGTTTTAGTGAACTTGTAGCTCTCTCTAATGTTTTAATTCTAGTTCAATCCTTGGGTTGAGAACACTACACACACACACACACACACACACACACTATATTATAAAAAGAGCAATTTAGTTGGTGTGAACCAAAAATGAAATTGGGTAATGCTTTTTTCTATTATTTTGTTTGGCGGCCTCAAGACCTGGGTGTGGTAGAGCACAGCTTACTAGGGAATAGTTACAGTTGGTGAAGATTATTATAGTGTTTAAAGCACCCTGGAATGATACAAATGCAGATATTATGTGAACTCTATGCTAAAATTTAGAAACCAATAGATTGAGGAGCACAGTACTATCACAATCGGCATCATTAAGGGTATGTCGTAGCCATTCAAACAACCAAATTTAGTCTATGATCATAAGATCTTCACCTCGGTGCTCTGACACGGTACTTATATCCTTTTGCTAATACGAAAGATATTTTGTTAACGAGTGCCCTAAGGGCACTTGTTAAGATGCTTAAAATGATTATACATTCTTTATGAGAGTGCGTGCGATAAAGAATGTACAATCATTTTAAGCTTTGTTAGAGCATCTCCAATGGGATGGTAAGGTTCTTAAGTCTGTATCCATGAATATTCAAGTTGAGGGCTGACTATTTACTGCTGTTGCTTTTATGTTCAATTTTATGTTCAATTTCTAGACTGCCGTCCTTCCTCCTGCTAATCTGGCCATTTCCAAACCTGTCTTTCCCACCCCATTCTTCATTCAATGGATGAGATCTCATTACCCTTAAAAACTTCCTTTCTCTTTTTGTAATGTAAATTTCTGTGCCATTGAAAGCATAGGAGCATAATAATCGCTTTACTGCTCTTCTCTGCTATATTGATGATGTTTTGATGCTTTAGAATCTCAGTTTCTGAATTGTATTGTTGTATACAAATTCACTTTCATTGTATTGTTTTGTATAAAAAAATTTCAAGAGATTGTACTCTACTAGGTTCTGAAAAGCATTAAAAATAGGTCCTTTTTGCAATTTCTTGTCGTGTGATGTTAGTGGAGTAATGGGTACATTTCCTTCTCTGGGCCACTGGATAGGACAAGGTTTTTATAGTTCAGTGTTTTATTGTCAAGGATTCCAAGCTTCCAGTGGATGATTTGTTTTTAAGAGGGACAAAGAAACTGTAGGGGTGATTTTCTAATTCATTGCTGTTTGGGTCATGTGTTTTAATATTGTGGGGTTTGTCCAGTCTTTTTAGTTGGGGTTGGTATTTTCATAAATGATTGCTTAAGATATTTGGATTGAGTGTAGCACCATTTTCTTCTTATTTGGTGCATTTGGAAGGAGAGTAACACTGGATTAATATTGATGAGTTCAAAGCTCATGTTTTGGCAATGAAGTTTTCTTCTTCTGATGATGATCTGACAACAAAAGGTATTGATTAAACAAGTGAACAAATACTGGAAGAGGGACAAGAAGTCCACTGAAATCAAGAGAAAAGAAGAAAAAAACCATGAATCCTTAGACTACAAATAGGCACTAAGCACTCTAATAGCTAGAAATTAAAAATAATGGAATCTCTTTAAAAGGACTGGCCTTCGAAGATCAAAAAGAGGCGAAATAACAAATTTTCTCCCAAATACTCTCAACATCTTCACTCTTAACTTAAAAAAATCCTAACTTACCTTTCTATTCTTAAAACCTAAAGGACTGCACAAACAACACATCTCCAAAGAACTCGAGACTTGGCATTTGAACCGAATCAATGCATAACAAATTCTCACAAGAGGGTGGTATAACCCAGTCCTCCATCAAACTTCTCTCCACCATAAAGATAGGGGCAAAGGATAAACACACACAGCACAATTTCTGGAACAAATACCAACTCGGCCTTTTTCTTTTGAACCAGATCATTTATATTGGTCCCGTTTGGTAGAGTTGTAAGAAAGTGATTATAACTCATACCTTAACAGCTTATAGCTTATAACTGTGAATATAAGCTGATTTTTGACTTATAAATTAAACTTTTCCTCCCCCACTCAAAGAATAAGTTGATTTTTGACTTACAAAAAGTTATAAGCTGTATTGTTAAGCTGAACTAAATATATCAAAATAACTTAAATTAAGCTAAAAGATAAAATAAGCTAAAAATAAACTCTACCGAACAGGACCATTAACTTGCATGTGCCTAATTAAAATTGTGGGAACAGGTTGCATGGTTTGGACTCCTGGGACTTTGTGCACACAAAAAAAATTAGAGAGTTTAGATACGTGGTATGCCAGAAATATTGAATAATTTCTCTATTTTCTTTCTGTCTTTATATTTCCTTGTGCTTGTGTACGCTGCAATGAGATGTCCAATAAATTTTTTAGGGCGTTTTTGATAATTGAGAATTTTCATGCACGTCTCTTCTCTCTCTATTGTTTTTTTATCTTCTCTTTCTCTGTATTTATCTTTTTTTTTTTTTTTTTTTTTTGTTTTGGTAGATTTGGTTCCGGATTAAAAAATTTTAAAATCTGTAGTTCACAGATCGGTTCCAGATTGAACTCTACGGTTCGGATTAGAACCAATTCAGACCGTGTACAAATAGTTTATATTTATATTATACACCCTCGTATATAGTATCTTCCCTTATTCTATATAAAACCTAAACTAAAACCTAAACTCGCATAGTATCTTCTTTTATTACTTTTGTTTGTTAGTTTTTAGTTTTAATTTGTAATGGTCTAAATACTTAATGTGAAACTAGTTTTCTTATAGTTGTTTAATTTTTAGAACAGTATGTCGCTATTGTGAAAAAATATGTCGTTATTGTGGAATTAATATGATGCTATATTTATGTTTTTATGAAATTAAAATGTTATATATTTTTTTATTATTTAATTATATAAATCTGTAGTCTTAAACCGATCTAATCTATATGTAAATGGATAGGTTTGAATTTATTTTACTATTTAAACGAATTGAATTAATTTTAATTTTTTAAAAACTACAAATAACAAATTGATTCTAATTTTATTCCAATTCATATCAATTTCAACCATACTCATCCTATTGAGATATTCGTAAATAGACCTGGAAATTGGTCTGTCGGTTCAAATGGGCAGAATATCAATTTAAAAAATAATAATAATAATAGAAAAATAAGTGATCCGTAGACATGGGAGCTAGTTAAGTATCTTCCTTGCGCAGTCACTGTCAAGTGCCGTGTTTGTGTTTTTGGTTCAGACCAAAAAGTTTTGTGCGACTCTTTTGTATGTGAAAATTAATAGTTACCGGTAAAAATGCCTTTGTATTATCAAAGAGAAGAAAGTGCTCCCTCTGTCAAAATAATAATATCTTTTAAAAAATTTAATTTTTTTTAATAGTATAATTATTACATTTAAAAAAAATAATTTTTCAAAATTACCCTTTTGATAATACATTTTTTGAGAATATCAATGCCATAATTATACTTTTTATATTGTTTATTAATTTAAAAGAATGGCAAAATAGAAAATTTATATTATTTTTGTACTTGATTTTTGAAGAGAGATTAATATTTTGGGACAATAAAACATAAAATAAGGGACTAATATTTTGAGACAGATGGAGTATTGTTTTATATTGAAATGTTAAAAAAATAATTATTTAATAATTAATTATCATCCAATGATATTCTTAATATATTACTGAATTTAAAAAATAAATTTAAAATACAAGCTTATATATTATTTTTTATATGTATAATATATATATTAGTTGTATCATTGTGATTGTGTGGGATCCAGAAATAAATGAATTAGGTTCCATCATAGCCTTCTTAACTTTCTTTTAACTTCTCTCTCTACACATTTGAAGTGTTATATGCATGGTTATAAATATCTATTAATTTGTACTGTTGTTTTGATATTCATATATTTGGATAAAAGAATAATTTACAAGCAGAATTTAAAAAAAAAAATATTAACGAAAAATATGAGATAATAATATTCTTGATACTAGAAGTCATACTAATGAACTATATAACTATGGTTTAAAAACCAGATCATTTATATTGGTCCCGTTTGGTAGAGTTGTAAGAAAGTGATTATAACTCATACCTTAACAGCTTATAGCTTATAACTGTGAACATAAGCTGATTTTTGACTTATAAATTAAGCTTTTTCTCCCCCACTCAAAGAATAAGTTGATTTTTGACTTACAAAAAGTTATAAGCTGTATTGTTAAACTGAACCAAATATATCAAAATAACTTAAATTAAGATAAAAACTAAAATAAGCTAAAAATAAACTCTACCAAATAGGACCATTAACTTGCATGTGCCTAATTAAAATTGTGGGAACAGGTTGCATGGTTTGGACTCCTGGGACTTTGTGCACACACACACAAAAAAAAAAAAAAAAAGAAGAAAAAATGTTAATGAAATTCAAGTTTTATTTTATTTTTCTTTTATAATTAAAAATGCAAATGTTATCGCGAGTCTTCAATATTTCTCATTACATGAATAGCGATAGTTATTTTTTGTTTTTTGGTTTGGTTACATATTTATGGATTCATGGCATCGGCGCGTGAATGTTACGGTTGTGTTTTTTTTTTTTTTTTTTTTTTTTTTTTTTTGGTAGATTTGGTTCCGGATTAAAAATTTTAAAATCTGTAGTTCACAGATCGGTTCCAGATTGAACTCTACGATTTCGGATTGGAACCGATTCAGACCGTATACAAATAGTTTATATTTATATTATACACCCTCGTACATAGTATCTTCTCTTATTCTATATAAAACCTAAACTAAAACCTAAACTCACATAGTATCTTCTTTTATTACTTTTGTTTGTTAGTTTTTAGTTTTAATTTGTAATGGTCTAAATACTTAATGTGGAATTAGTTTTCTTATAGTTGTTTAATTTTTAGAACAGTATGTCGCTATTGTGAAAAAATATGTCGTTATTGTGGAATTAATATGATGCTATATTTATGTTTTTATGAAATTAAAATGTTATATATTTTTTTATTATTTAATTATATAAATCTATGGTCCTAAACCGATTCAA